GTATAATGTCTTGTGACGTCCAAGGCCTACCCCAGTTACCACTACTGTGCATGTGTGTCAAGGACAGAAAGGCAGATGTGGCAGTGGAAGGTGTCAAAGCAGTTTGGAAAGAAAAACAAAGTAAAGAACAAAAAAAAGAAGAAAACGATTAATCGATTATTAAATTAGTCATCGATTATTTTAATAATAGATTAGTTGTTGATTAATCGATTAATCGTTGCAGCCCTATTAGCCACTCTGGGTGGATTCCTTCCATTAGTAGCTGGATCATTTCTAAATGTTCATGGAGAGCAGTCAGACTTTTTATACATGATCTGATCATGTCAGGCCCTGATGACTGAGACTCTGATCTGGATGTCTGCCACTGTGAAGAAGTGGGCCTTATTCTGGGTAATTGCTGTATTTAAATCTTAGATCATGTAGCTATGAGCCATTATTGCTGTGTAACAGCTTTCTATCACAATTATGACTGCAAGTGTGTGTGAAGTTAAACAAGGTAAGGCTGCTTCACTGTCCACATATTGATGTCCACATTTAAGTTAAATTTAGTCGTTTATATATTGGCAACTTTTGTCATCTTGAGGTGTGGTGCAAAAAGAAAATGTTTAGGTAGGTTGAAATTTTAGTTATTCTATTTGATTTAAGTTATTTAATCAGCCAATATAGTTTTGTCTGGAACAAAAAAAAATCAAAGATTTCCTCAAACTGAAAAGTTTTTACTGAACCCTTTTTGGTGTAAATCTGAGAAACACTGAGCACTTTGTGAAAGGAAGGTGAGGTTAAAATATTTTTGTGGGTTGAGTTTCTTCAGCTGTTCGACAGCAGCAGCAGTAGAAACGGTCTGTGTGTCCCATGTTGCAGAGTGTCTGGGCGATTCTTGGGGAAAATGGGGTGTCAGTCAAGACTCTGGTTGCTGTTCTGTCCTCCTTCATCCTGGTGGCGAAATCCAAAGGGGCCAACGTACAGCAGAGAGTTAACGGACTGTACGCAGCGTCGCTCTACCTGCTGCTGCTGGGAATCCCAGGTGAGAAAATTAGCACTGTATTCTTTCTTCTGAGTCACAAACAGAACAGGACTGTACAGCTTTGACAACATTCCCAAAGAAAGTTATTATTTTTCTAAAATGCAACAAACACCTAAATCTGTGATTTAAAGGTTTTATTTGAACTTTCAATTAGCAGACAAAATAAATCTACTTCAGTGGCTAATTTTACTGTGTTTAGAAAACTTTTAACAATTTAGAATCAGATGTCAACAAAAGAAAAAGGACAGTTTATACAAGTAACAATGTTCTGAAATGTTTTAAATCTGCAAATAATTGATTTAAGTGTGCTTGTGTGTGCTGGGGATGGTTTACATTTAATAATGAGCCATGGAATCTTTGAAAACTGTGCAGCTCTTTCGGAAAATTAGATTTGCAGGTGCATTTACCAACTTGCTAAAGCCCTGTCACGCTCAACAACTTATGCCATCTTATAAGCATTTTAAAGACGTCTATGTTGAAGCTGGAATAAAAAAAAATGAACAAACAGGAAGCTTCTTTTTGGCATATGTCTTATGTAATTCTAACAAATTGATCAAATATATAATTTTTATTAGCAATTTAGACATAAAAAATGTTTCATAAGTTGGCATAAGTTGTCTAGTGTGATGGGGCCTTAACATACGGTAAGTGTGTGGCTTTTAATATAAACTTGGCAAATGTAAACTAAATTTCTTTAAAGTCTATTTGTGTTTAGTTACTGTAAGGGTTAATTGTGTGTGAGGATCCACTCTTATGGCTCTGTTTTCATGTGCGTTGCTTCCAGGAAGCATTGCCAACAGAGTTTTCCATGAGGTTCTTTTGGACACGTGTTCTGACCTGACCTGGCACTGCTGGCCTCAGGACTCTGGGAAGAAGCGCAAGAAGGACGTCCTGAAGAGTTCCCAGTCGGATGGCAAACGCTCCAAACCCCAGCGGAAAGACACAGCAGAGGTACAGCTCTGAGGGGAAACATCTCAGAAAAGCAAAAAGAAAAAAATTGTATAGGTCTTCTGGACGGGTTCTGAGACATTTATTTTCTAAACATGATGTCCCAGTGGCTTTCAAACCCCAAAACACATTACGGCAAAGGCTGGTTCACCCCAAAGATCCGGTGCCCCGGCACAAACAGAGCAATYTTGTATATGCTGTTAAGTGCCAGGAGGACTGCGACCAGTTATACATCGGGGAAACAAAGCAGCCACTGTTCAAAAGAATGTCCCAACACAGACGAGCTACATCTAATGGCCAGAACTCTGCAGTTTTCATTCATTTACAGGCCAGCGGTCACTCTTTCAGAGATGAGGATGTTCTCATTCTTGATAGAGAGGAACGTTGGTTTGAGAGAGGAGTAAAAGAAGCCATTTTTGTGAAGAAAGACCGTCCATCATTAAACAGAGGTGGAGGCCTCCGTTTTCAGTTGTCCCCCTCCTACAGTGCTGCTATTGCCAGTATCACTCCACCCCCTGTTAACAATACGTGTTAATTAGGTGTCAACGATAGCCATGTGATGTGAGTTTCAGTCACCTGGAGGCAGGGCTTAAAAGCCTGAATTTTGCCTGAAACTCTCAGACTGAAGAAGTCTCTTGGAGGAGAGACGAAACGTTTCATTAGAGAAGAACCCGTCCAGAAGACCTATACAATTTTTTTCTTTTTGATTTTTTTACCTGGATTACTGAGATGCATCAGGACATTTCAGAAAAGGTTTCTTGTATCTGAAAGTAGTGATGTTCTTTAAAGAACACCGAAACGTTTTTACATCGTCTTTCTTTATCTTCACACCATTCATTTAGTTTTTGAAAAGACTTCAAAGGTATTTTTAGAAACATTTCAGCTATTTTGAAGTGAGTTTCTGCATAAAAGCTATAAATATTTTACCCACTGTAGAGGTCCTGTTAGATTTAATGATCATTTGCGTTTAGTTTGCTCTAAGGTTCAGTCTGCACCACAGAGGGGATCAGGGGCCTTATGTGATCATCACACATAAAAAAAAGTTGTGTGTGTGCCAGGTTCCATGCACATTTCGGGATGTAAAACAAACATTGTGTGAAAGTGTGTGTAAATATACACACACGTTCGACCTGTCGTGAGAACGTGCGGACTGACATGCAAACTTCTTCAGTTGACAGTTTTAAACCACAAAGTACTGAATCTGACCAAAATACACAGAAACGTGACTCCACTCTGTTGTCTGAACACCGTGTTAGTTTTTAGTTTGAGCTTTTATGGTTTAAACTATATTTAACCTCGGAGAAGAAAACAAAAACACAACTAAAACAAATGAAGAAGCAACCTCAATCTGATGGAAACTGTGAAGTTTCTTGTGTTTTTATCACCAGTAGATGTAAACACACATTGGTGAGCACACACCTGCGTAGCACACAGACAGCTGAGGAGGAAAAAAGGTGTGTAAAGTGTCTAAGAAGCACTTTAATTCTAACTGAGGATAAGCTTTGTCCACAAGAAGAATTCCTATTTAATTGGTGTGGGGATCATACCAATCAGGTATATGCAGCTGAATGTCTTCATGATTTAATACATATGAAGTGGGGCTCATCAAGTGTTTTTAGTTGTAAACTGTGGAACCAGCTGCTCCATCATATAAGACAGGCTTCAGCTCTTTGAGTTTAGGTTCCATCTTTAAACACATTTGTCCTCAGTGGCATGTTTTTGCTGGAATAATTGTAAAAAAGTGTAAACTATTTAACATTAGAACAGTTTTGAGAAGACACAAATTCATTTCATTTGTTCAAGAAGTCATCTACAGCATGCAAGAAGTTATAAACTTTTAATTTTACTCAAAAAAATCCACCATAGCATGACCGAACTGAGAGTATGTGTTTTCCTCAGGTTGAAATGGACGAAGAAGAGGATGAGGATGTGGACATTCATTTCTCTGGCCAGGACTTGATAAGGATCAGAGATGCTGTCGCTCTCTTAGTTCAGAGCCTTCTCAGACTCCTGCAGAGCTTTCCGCTCAAAGAGCGACCGCAGAGCGCCAGCCACTGCACGCAGGTAACTCCTGCTTTCACCCACACGCCTGCTTCGCGCCACACCGGCTGGCTTCATGTGCTTTCTGTCCTCCGCAGATCTTCACTAAGCTGCTCTACTTTGAGCCCGTCATCGGGGAGCCGACCTTTGCAGTTCCGCAGTGAGTTTTCTTACACCTCTTTGTCACGCTGAAGAAAAGACGTGAAAGCTGACCGGATCGTGTCTGCACAGAGACCTCACGGAGCTGAAGAGCGTTCCAGAGATGGCTTTCTGTGGCTTAAAGCTGCTGTGTTCCCCAAAACACGGAGACCAGAAAGAGGTGAGGCTCACTGGTTTCACTTAGATTATAATCTGGCTCCTCTTGTGGTGACACACAGTTACAGTGGGTTACAAAAGTTTTCTATTTTGTTGCCTCACAGCTGGGATTTTTATCAGATTTCAATTCAAGTAATAATTGTACAGAAATATTCCAGATTAGTTACGTTAAATAGGGAAACGGGGTGTGTGCATATGTTTTCACCCCCTCCAAGTCAAAGACGATGTGTGAAATGTATTCCTTCAAGAAACGCTAGGCCTGACATTGTGCTGATTGCTGTCTATTGCAGGTAAGATACTGACGCTGTTAAATTCCTAAACACAAACTAATCCAAATAAGTAGTTATTTTTACAATTTGGGACATTTTCTTTTATTTCACCAGCTGTCAAAAAACATACAAAAAATGATCAACAGAAAGTGATAATCATTTGTTTCTGGAATATAAAAAAAGTTCTGTTTTGTACAGTTTTCAGTCCTCATAAATGTAAGCGAATGAGATCTTGAATACAGTTTTTGATAAAATGTTAAAACGACTGTGTGAAAGAAAATTTAATACATTATTTGTATTTTAGTGGTTTGATTATTGTGTGGATTCATTAAATCTGTCTTCCAGTCTCTGCGGAGGGTGTTTCACTCACTCCTGTACGTGATCCTGATGATGAGTCAAAACGAAAGGAGGAAGCCCTCCCTGCTTGTACCCAACCAGGCCATCATCACCACTCGCGACCAGGCCATCCAGTTTGTTTGGTGGGCACCTTATCTTTAAATAAATGTTCACTCATAATGTACAATTTAGGCAAGACATGTATATTTATATGGCATATTTCAGCAACAAGACAATTTAAAGTGCTTTACATGATGAAAACATAAAAAATAAATACATTATATTGGCTTAATAAAGGCATGTAAAGCAAAGTTAGACCACAGACTGAAATGAATGATGTTATAGTTAATATTTTCAATAGAACAGTCAAAGGCAACTCTATACAAATAAGTTTTTAACCTTGATTTAAAAGTCAGGGTTTCAGCATTTTTTACAAAAATGTTAAATGTAGGTATTAATTTCATATAAAAGACATAACATGAACATTTTAAAAAGGCACCATTATTTATCCTGTTTAATCATTCACAACTTCAACATATTGTGAGTTTAGTAATCTTGTGCAGCGTTCTGCACTTTTCTCAGATTGTCCTTGTTTGATTCTAGTCACCTTGTGGAAGAGCTGAAAGAGATGGCTCTACCTTTCCTTCAGATCCTTCTGCAGCATATCTGTGTTCAGGTGAGGTTTTACAGGAAACTCCACTGAAGAAACCATGAAAGTTATTTAGAATAATGCATTTTAGTTACAGTCGCCTTTCAAAACTCCCAATGTCACCTTACCAGGGTTCATGCAGGGTCTTAAAAAATCTAAAATTTGAAAATCAAAATTTTAGGCCTAAAAAAGTCTTAAACGCCCAGGTTTTCATCCAAGGTCTTAATTGTAATTTTGTCAAGTCTTAATCTTTTTTCTTTCAATCATTCCCGAAAAGCATTGGCTGCATAAATAAACAGAGTAAAGTACCGCAATCAGAGGTTGACACTATCTCTTCATGAAGTACTAAGTTTATATTTTTTGTTGTGGATAATTTATTTATTTATTTATTTATTTATTTTTAAGTTTACTACCAGTACGTGGTTAAACTAAAAATCCCATCATAACTGTAGGCAAAAAATGTCACAGCTTACTTCCATGTTTTCGACCTCCGTTATAACCCTCCACGTACAGCAGCTTGTTCACCCTCCCATAAAACAAAGAAGTTCAGTCATGTCCTCTGCTTGTTGTTTAAAACATGGGAAATTGTGTTTCCAATGAAAATTGGCTTGATATCTGTAATTTTTACACTCGGTTGGAAGCGGTCCACAAGCAGTCGATATGAAGGTCTCACAGATATGACAGTTTCATTACAATAATGTAATGTTCTTGTATTAAAATTAAATATTTTTTAATAGCTAAACTGATAGCAATAAAAGATTTCTACAGTATGTTAAAATTTCTGGGACCATTTGAATGTTTCTGTTAACGCATTGGTTTGGTCTTAAATGTCATTCCTAATGGTCTTAAAAGGTCTGCATGAACCCTGCCTTACATACAGAGATCAGTATTAAAATTACAATAGAATAATAAAACAATAAAATCAATTAACAGAAGAAATAATAACCAGTCAAGTGAGATTAACAAGAATTATAAAGATTTATGGTTCTAATGTCAATGATTTCAAGAGCAGATGAGTTATGAGCTGAGAATTGAAGGAGGCAGTGGAAACTGAATTTTTAAAGTCTTGGGGCAGAGACATCCAAAGACGGTGGGCCCAGTAACTGAAGGCTCTTAATGCCCATGGTAGGCTTGGGCCGCTATGAAATTCAGACTGTATGATAATTGTAGACAAAAGTATCACAATATTATGATTACAAATCTAAAAGGTGCTATTTTCAAATTGGTATTTAAAACAAAACCGGAAATAACTTTTCTACTGTCATAGTCAACTTTAATTATCTTTGGAAGATAATTATCTTTAGATCACAGGTGTAATGCTGAAATTTCATTCCCCTTTAATGTGCACATTCATAATTTAAATTATACTGATGAAGTTTACATTTAATAAGATATCTGCTTTTCCTCTGCTTTAATAAACGAGACAAATCATGGTATACTGCATGACAAGTTGTCTTTTTATTGACATAAATTAGATTATATACATATATAAAACATTACACTCACACAACAACAGCAGAAATCACAACTGTGAACGTGTGTTTCTGAAATGTGCATTAAGCTAAAGAGCTGCTCAGCTAAAGCTACGGAGGCACTCAGTACTTTCGCCTTTCAGTTAAAACTAATCAATAAACACTCCAATAACTACAAAACACTTGCAAAGTTGTGACCAACACAATATGCCACAGTAACATGATATTTCAATAATGCCTGATGCTAAAGGTAGCTTACTCATTAAACTTTACCTGGTGGTGATCCAGTAGATGAGCTGTCATGTTAGATGTGTTGCTTTCTCTGGCTGACGCTGTCTGCAAGCTGCTGCCGTCTGTCATTTTACAGTAGCTGAAGTATTCCAAGACTTTATTCTTTTAGACAGGGGTAAAGGTTCAGGGAACTGGCTTCCTGCAGCCATCATACAGTCAGCAGAGTTGGCAGCTAATGCAGGGGTGCGAGGGGAGGAGTCGTGACTCTGCAGCTGAACAGCCGAAGGGATTTGACCTCCACTTTCTCTCTGACGAGTCATTAAAAAATAGTTCATACTGCAGGAAACGTGTGACTAGAATTTTAGTTTTTTTGAAACTGACTTTTTCATATTACGGTATACTCTGAAACCGGTGTCTGGCCCAAGCTTACCCCATGGTGATACTGTATGTACTCTCATATCCAAGATGGGAGTGGTGCTTGTTAAAGTGTTTTGCTGTTACTTTGTCATTAGCCAGCACATAAATGGTTATTTCAGCTTTCTGATGTGTAGATGGTGGAGAAATGTGAGTTTCGAAGCCATGGAGCTCAGGCCGTGGGTATGTTAACGTCTTCGATGGCAAGCAAAGACTACGCCCAGTTCATCAAGTGGCTTTATACCTTTTCCAGACACTCAAAGGTAACACGTTGATTGCAGCTTTTTTTTTCTTGTTGTTTGTTCTTTTTCTTTGTTGCCTATAGAAGAACTACAGATACATCCTTCTGAAAATTTTCTCTTCTCAGTAGCTCCAGTTTCTGTGTTTTGAATTCCACTGTGCTCTTTGTGTTCATTGATCTGGTCTTTGTAGATGGTTCATCGCCTGTTCTCCGTAGACGTGGTGATGGTTTTGCTGGAGCAGCCCGAGAGAAGTCCGGATGAGTGTCAGGACCCCGAGCTCGCCAGCTTCCTGCCACAAAAATTTCTGATCCATGACCTGCTCTTTGCTCGGCGGATGGACGCATCGTCCACCGTCCAAGGCCACGCCCTCTCATGCCTGGCTCAGTGTCTGGAGCTGCCCTCGCTTAACGTCACTCGGGCTGTTCACAACCTCTTCTCTGCCAGTGAGACAACGCAGACAAAATACATTTAACTGGAACACGTCAGCTGGATTAGATAAGAAAAAAAGAAAAAAAGACAGATGTTTGAATTGAAGATTAATACAAAAATACAAAATAATTAATTTTTTGAGATTATTGAGAGGTTTCCAATTTTTTTCATTTTTTTTATAATTTAGTTGCACTTACCGCCCACAATTTTTCTATTTAAATTGACATTTTAATTCTGTTTGTTTCATTGTGAAGTACAACATTTTACTTATTGCTTTAACTTGCATCAAATGTTTCTATGCACTCCTGTCCACTAAATCAATTAGTTTGTTTTTCCGTTTAGCTGTGACTCAGACCGTATTGGAAGGTGAACTTGCAGAAGGTACGCTCATTTATCTTTAAGTAAAACATCTCTACTTGCTTTGCTGTCAATCCAAATGCTTCTTGGACGAATTAACTAACTTGTTTGTGATCTGCTGGAGTTACAATCTAAATGTTGTAGTTTTATTGCATTAAAAAAGTGCATTGCTGTTTTGTAACCTACTATCATATCTTGTTCATTCAGCCCTTTTTTTCTATTGAGCTGGGTTTAATAGGCAGACCTGCTTCTTTAACAAATGTCTGTTTTGCAGGAAGTCTTAGTTCCCATATCAGTCAGAAAACCTATCGGACCCTCCCGTTCAGGACCGTAGAGATCAGCAGTGCCAGCAGCTCTGGCTGTGATGGTGAGATTTTCTCCCATGTGAATATTTTGCTAATATATTCTTGTTTATACTAGGACATTCATACGTTTGATACCTGGCATTAGTTGAAAACGTTTTCCATATTTTTCTTGTAGCAAAAGAGAACCTGGCTCTCCTCCTTCGCCGTCTGAAAGACTCAAAGATTAACGTGAGAAAAGCTGCTCTGCAGGTACCTGAACCTAACAGAAAGCATCAGATTTTCAACAAATACTGATAAATTTATTAATCGATCTCTTGATGTGGTGCCTTTCTGTGCTGATTGTTTGTAGACAGTCTGGGATAAGTTTTCTGTTTTTTTCTTCAGGCCGTGGTGGGTCTTCTAAAACACAGTGTCATTTCTATGAACTGGGAGAATCTGGAAGTTGTGTCTGAGCGCACCAGAGATCCAGCTGTGTCTGTAAAGAAGAAGGCCTTGCAGTGTGTCGGAGAACTGCTCGCTGTGAGTCTGAAAAGAAAAAAAAAAACAACCCAGAAAACTGTTTAAAAAAATAATTGATAAGGTAATGAAATTAAAGACTGGCATAAAAAACCTTCTTTATATAAATAAATTATGCTCTCTTTGGATGAATGAAAGGCTGAAATCTGTTGTTTTTAACATTGTTCTTTCTTTTGTCCACCAGACTAAACCGGAGTGCAGTGTAGTTCAGAAGGCCTGGCTTTACGGCGTGATGCCAGCTGTGGTGGACTCTGAGAACTCTGTGCAGGAAAAGGCCTTAGAGTCTCTGGAGCAGGTGTTGCTCAGTCAGGTGAAATTGTACTCTGCCGGCCGCCACCTGGACTCCAGTCAGAAGCTGGCCTGGGACCTGCTGGGGTTAATGTGCCACGAGTGCCAGAACATCAGGTTGGACTTGTCCAATATTTGTTTCTTATTAATTTAAGGTTTCGATGTGTGACAGTGTTGCTGAACCTTGTCATCATTAACTTTTGGAATATTTGCTTTTGGAAAAAGGCGTTATGGTTGTGAGGGTTCACAAATCTGCAGCTTTAGGCCCGTGAGATGGGTCAACATAACAAAACAAGAACTGAAGCACTAACCTCCTGATTAAGACAGGAGGGCATACATGTCAAGTTGTACGGGTTGCTTATAAATTAAACAGATTTCCCCCCATTTTGTAGATACATAGAGGTATAGGGCAATCTCACAGATTTTTATTGAACTCAGATTGTTTTATTTTTTACATATCAGAGCCTGCAGAACGTGAAAAAAACCCCAATAAACAAAATTAAACAACCATCTCCCAACCCACTCTGCCGCTAGAAATAGGTTTCTCACCTCTCCGTGCTCCTCTGAGCTGCAGGCGCTGTTCTCTCTGCCTCACATTCTGGCTTTCCACACACACCTCCCACCGCAAACACACACCTGCCACCGCACATTCATATGCAATATGGATTTTTTTTTCTGATAACTGCAGATTTTTGAGGGTCGTGATCAAGGAGTTTCTACAGAACAGCTGGAGCTCAGAAACCACGTGACCGTGTGATCGGCTAGTGAAGCTAACGCAAAACAGTCAAGTCTGGATTTCCCATTACTGTACATGTTGACAACAGAGCAGAAAAAAAGGACTGACCATGTAGAAATCATTAAAACTGTTAATAATAATATTAACACAATTATTATTTTACAGTTTATTTAATCTATATGTTTTAAATAATGCCAGAAAAGCTGTTTGTGTTATAGATTTATTAACAGAAGATAAACAGGAAAAATGTCTCATTTTACAACACAAGTCAGCAGATTTGATCTTATTTAGCTCAATGTGATCTGAGCAGAACATAATGTAACAGTTTAAAATTAAAATCTTATAAAGTCGATCTGCTGTTTCACATGATTGTTGAATGAAATTAACATGGTTATTAATTTACTGTAAAAACATGACATAATCTGTGAAACAGATCTGGTTCTGCTTGCTGTTTATCCATGGGTTTCTATGGAGGCTGTGAGCCGTTGCCCTGTTTGGTCTCCGTTTCTGCTCCTCCATGCTGTCACAGACACTACCAGTGGACGGTGTGGGCGGAGCTCAGTCTAAAGATCTTATTCAAGTCTATGGTTGTGATAAAGGTCTTTGATTTTGTCTCTGTTTTGTTTTTCTATTTAAATACATAGCGAATCAAATCCAGGTTTTTATATATCATGATACAAAAATAATCTGGTTCTAACTTAATTAAAATGGAAAATAAATGGATTTTGAGATAAACACTGAAGTGACCTTTTGCTGCATCAATATCTGTTGAACAAATAAGTTCAACTGAAGAAGCAGTTCATGGAAAGGCTTTTACTAATCCTATAAGTGTGGGATTAGTTGCAACCAGGTGCTGCTAATCAGATTAATAGGTCATTGTTGAGTGTGAGCAGCTCTTTTAAAGAAGAGGTTTTGGCTGTTTGCCGGTTAAGTGTGTGTGTGTGTGTGTGTGTGTGTGTGTGTGTGTGTGTGTGTGTGTGTGTGTGTG